GAATCTTGTGGCCAAGAGTTTCCAAGAGTTTTAATTAAAGTGATTTTTATACCATTCGATTCGTCTCAATAAGACGAGTCGAATGGTACTAAAATTATTCTATTCGGATCAGTGAATCGCAAGATATCATCAAAAAACATAAGTGCGCCACAATACCCTCCCGCGCCAGAATACCCATCGTTCCCTTATATACTAGAATCTTAATATAACATGATGCACGAATACATCTCAATGATCTTAATTCAATTTTGATTTAATCAAGAGCGACACACGTCGTCCCGGTCACGGAGTTAAAAAAAAAGGTCATGTAGTTCGAGACTTTAGAAGTTACTATAGTTAATTAACAATAAAATTTTATAGATAACTGTCGTATAGGTTCGCAATAGGTATTATCCTATGCTAATTTAGCCCAAATTCGTAGACACTTTCGGATTCGAATTATAATGTTGATCAGGTCTGATTACAACGTAACCCACGCTCTCAAAAACACCAGCAACACTTGGACCACCGGGATAAGTGATTTCAGCGACCAAGTTAGGATTTCTTGACCGTTACAATAAAGAACTACTATTTGGTGGTAGTATATTTTTGATTTACTAAGCCTTGCTCTGAGGCTGCAGATTAATGATGCATCACGGCTGCACGATAAAGCACAAATTACAATAGACTATAATGCGATTATGCGTATAAGCTATAACTAACTTTCATACATGAATCGCCGATATGCACTTATAACCAATTACATGATCATGTGACATCGTGAATCAAGTTCACGATCGAGACTCAAGTCTTCGAAGTTAAAAATTCTCCGGTTGTAGTACCATTTTTAAAGAACCCTAAAATTATAGGGCATTAAACAATTGGTTGGGATGAGACAATCATTAGATCATAATAATAAGTTATACTGTAATAGCTATGTTATGGGTTAGTGTTAGATTAAAAATTTAGCTACGTGACGAACCGATAATATCTTTATTATAAAAAAAGTAATCAGTTGAAATGTGGGGTAGGGATAGGAATCGATTTAGTCGACTAAAAAATTTATATGTAAATTACTATGTTTAGTCGATTTAGTCGACTA